AGGCAAAGCACTTTTTGCAGTTCATGGTTATTCAATAGAAATAGCTACCAATTAATTTTTTTTTTTGATAAATAATAAAATAAATAAATAAATAGCTACCAATTAATAGGCATTACAAGATCAACTTACTATTGGCTGTACTAAAATTACACTTAAAGTTGGATATAACTCAAATTACATGTAATCAGACAGCAATATTTTTATTTAAATAAAGCAATGATTTAAAAAATACAGCATTACCACATATTTAGAGATGTATTTGGCCCCTTTATCTTTCAAAGTAGTATATGTCTTTAGATTAGATACATAATTTAGCATCAATGTTTGGACTAACTCTACATCTAACAGCTTATCTTCTCAATAGAAGACCTACAGTGTGTCAGGACATGTTCAACCTACCTCCTGTTAGCCATGCCAAGCATCCCGCTCTTTTGACAGCTCTTTGTTTAGAGTAGGCAAAACACTTGATATAAGTAGAATAAAATTCTACAATCTTAATGGCTTTTATAGAGCTTGAAACATTATGTTATCTCTCTACATGCTGAAGTGAATGTCTACTCATCTGTCAACAGTACTGACAAGAGTATCGATTCATTGATTCAGTGAAAATGTCCTCAATTTATTTTCTGTTTTTACTGATCCTTAATTTCCTGTGTCACATATTGATTAACTGTGTCATTTCAGCTTCACCTTTCCTCCTATATATGCTCATTTTAGTTTGTTTCCCTCTGTTTTCCTTGGAGATAAGTGATTACATTGATTTGAAAATACAAAGGACACAGTATCTTGTGGTTTGGTGATTAATTTCTTTGCCTTCTTCATCACGTTTTTGACATTTAATTTGACTTTTCATGCTGAATTGCCAAGCAGAACTAAAGTTGCAGAGTGCTTTCAGGCTTTTACATTATACAAGGTTAACATCACAATGATCAATCAGGAATGCTTGTACCTTGATGCTGCAGTTATGTAATCCAGGAGGTATCAGGGAGCCAATATGTTGTATTAATGAAGCCAAATGCAAGCAGCCTATATGAAAGGAATCCTTGTTTTTCCTTACAGCGGCACATAAAACATCAGTGCCTGCTTATCCTGCTAGACTTTGAGTCAATCAGAATTATGTATATTCTGCCTTTTTAATGTTTAACAAGTGCGATGCTCCAACAGCTTTATTCAGATCTGTCAAATCAGCAAGTGCATATTCAAGAGTCATATATATTTCAAGCTGCTGTGATTTTTTGATGATATTCAACAGGATGCCATATGAGTACCATTGTCAGCTCCAGATGTGGGATATTTATTGCAGCGATTGCCAACAGTCAGCACGCTCTGACTTATTTGCTCCCATGCGACACCTGACATCTTCTCTTTGATATAAGCCTCTCAGTTCTTAAGTCCTCAGCTGTGCGGGCACTTTCACAATACAGAGAGGAGGTTTATCCATGGAGGGGGGAGCGTCTAGAATGATTTGTGGGGGATTTGATTTTCCTGCCTCTCACTATATGGCTGCATAAATAAAAACCTCCAAACTAGCTTAGCAAAGAGGCGACCTGATGATGGAGCTGTAGCATAATATCTGCAATGAAGATGGTGTGAAACTTTCATTTATGAGCTGGTTCTTTGAGCTCTGAAGTAAATGAGCCAACTTGTATGTGTGTGGGATGTCTTTTACATTTTTTAAATGCAGAACAAAACATGCAATTTGCCTAAATGTCTCTTTTACCAAATATTTTCTTTGTAGGATTTCCAGAAATCAATGCCTCTTTGTTTTCAAACCACAACAGGAAATTAAAGCCTAGTGACAATATACGTTTCTGTCACATTTCAAGTCACTTGCACCCCTTTGGTTTCCCTTTCAATTGACAACCACATAACATGTCATACATTTCAATAAATTTTTATTTTTTGATGGATGAAAACAAGGGATAAAAATAGAGTAAAAAAGGATATATATCTATATATCTATCTATATATGTATATATAAATATTTTACTATACCCTTCTAAATTATTACCCCGTGTAACTCCCTTCCTAGGGGTATATTTATAAAGGCTTTGTGTATATAGAAAAGAAACTAAGTTTGCAAAATGACTTAACCTGAGATTAGATTTAAAGAGTCTTTTGCAAGGAGCATTTTTAAGTATTTTTACACCCCTCTAACAGAGTTTCCTCAAAGAAAGCCTTTTATTTAGTTCTATTAAACTTCCCATCAACTCTGACCAGCTTCCTTTAACCTGCAGAAGGAAAGCATGTCCATAACATGGTGCAACCGCCACTAATGATGTCTAATATTCATCAGAGGCCTTCACAGGACGGATGGATCTCAGATTAATTTAAGTTACAGTTTAATTTATGTATTAATAAGCAAGTTTCGAAAGCATTTGGTGTAACTGGATTTTTAGAGCTACAAATGCTCACTTTTTAGATGTGAAACAGTTTGAAAACTAGGTATCATTTTCTTACAGTTCCTGATTGTGTGAAACATATTTTGCTTTCTAAATATAATACAAAATATATATTTTTGTTTGTGATGTGGAATACCGGTAGTTAAAATGGTACAACTACTTCTGCAATACAGTGTTGCAACTACAATCAGATTTATAGTTTGCTTTGGTATTTTGTGCCTTTGAGTAGGATGTTCAGTAAAGGTTACAGTGTTTGTTTACTTGAAGTGTCAGGTTCAAGACTAAGAATGCATAATTTTCAACAATGAAGAGCATGAGGAGTTACTTTTGAAAAAAACAATCTTTGTTCGGGTAATGAGCTACAGCAAGAATCATATGTTTCTGTTGGCATTCAGAGGCAGGGCAGCAGAGAAAAATAACATATTTCTGATAATTACCAAACACCCACAGAAAAACCTTCGACATGTTGTTGTCCTGTTCAATCAGTGAATTTAATTAACAGGTTTAGGCTTGTTATTGTGTTGTATTCTCCTTAACAATTCAACAATAACTAAAGAATGTAATACTGATTTTTAGTTAGAATATTATTTTATTCGTAGGATGTGAATATTAGCTTTAATTAAAATATTAACAGAACAAAATAAAGATACAATGAGTTTATCTTTTCTTTTGCCTATGCTAATTTTATCAATCGGGATTGTAAATCTTTACCCTCATTTTTACTTTATCTAGTTGTTCTTACATTTTTCAATTTCTAAAACACTGCATACTAAAATACACACATTTTCTTGGTGTGCGGATATGATGGAGTCCGAAGTTTGTTCTGTTTCTGCATGTAAAATTCTTACAACACAGACGTTCATTGTTTTTGTGGGCAGTCATTGTCTTGCATCCTGACTAGCACTTATTTATGCAGTTCTGTTTTTGATCAAATTGGCACACCTCAAACAGCCTCTAAACATCAACATCTTTAAAGGAAAAGTCCGACCATTCAAACTTCTGGAAGTAGTTGATATATGAAATTATTATATACTTTTCAACAAATGAAAAGTGTTTTAATTAAGAGTAAATTTTCAATGTGATTTACTGGAGACATCCATGTTTGTCAAAGTACACTATTGCCACCTACCGGTTTGTGATGTCACAGTGAGGCATCGGATGTTGGTCAAGTCCCAGTGCTACTGTATATCTGGTGTTTGTCACTACTCAATATTATCCAAGTCATCTTGAAAACATTCTTCTTCAAAATGTTGTTTACATATTACATGTGTTTTCTCTGGCCAGAAGTTTGATTGCAAATCCTCCCTCTTCAAGTTGGTAATCCAACAACGCACCCGTGGCGGTCCATGAATCGGGAAGGTGAAATAACTTTTACCTGATGTATTACAACATTCAACTCCATGCACGTCCGCATTGTCACTTTAACTATAGCTCTCGAGAATTTCAATGGTGAGGTCCTCTCGAAATCTTAAATAATTGTTGTTGATTGCAGATGTGTCTAGCAGTTCCCATTGATTTTGCTTGTAAAGCGGGCAGAATGGCACTAGGCTTATCGCACCATGTCACCACATCACTGCCGGAAGATGTCAGGAGTGAGGTGTTACTGTATTTGGTCAAAAATGGCCGCTCCCAGACTCATTACTTTCATTTTTTTTACTGATTAACCCTAAACTTATTAAATCACTACGATGGTATTACTTTTAGGTATAAATAATGATCCATTGATTATTCCTTATTTACCAGACTTTTCCTTTAAGATTCAGCATTTAAAAACAAGCCTTGAATGTAGAATGTAACAAGGAGGAGCAACAATGTATTAAGAATCTTAAAATCCCTTTGAAAACCTTCTCTTTCTTACTTACTAGTGTATTACTCTTCAAATGTACATGTAAAAAGCAACCATTAGCTTTTAAATAAATATAATTCATCAAAATTGGCATGTAAATTTTCACCACATTTAAAGATAATTTACTACTTCATTTTTAAGTACCAATTTGAAAACCCTCTTTCCACTGAATTATACCTGCAGATTACACTATAGAAAAAATCATTTAAATTCAACTCTCCTGTAGTGACTATAAAATACAGTACCTGAATCTCAAGTTATACTTTCATTTCCATATTGTTTGCCTTTTAGTCAAACATCCTAAACTGTTATCAGATAATCTAAGTAAGTGCTCAAAAATGTTATAAACCTTAAATTACTCAGTACTTCAGGATTCATCTACCAAGCCAGACATCTTTAAACCAACTTGGTTTAATTTCTCTACAAGCAGGAGGTATTGAATGATTTCAAGTTTTGTATGATGATATTTCAATCATGAGGACATTTTTTTTCTCCTTCTAGATTTACTTCGCTAATTTGTTTTAAGCAATGTACTTGACTTTTCTCATAAAGACTAATTGAAGATAATTACAAATAAATCATGATCTGAGAGCCAAAACTGAAAAAATATATAACATTTTCAACCGCTTAGTAAAGACTAGCCAATGACAAAGATATATGATGTTAGATGTGCTCATCACCAATAGTAAACTGTTTTGTTGAATGGTTGTTCGTTTGACACAATGCTTTGAATTGCAGTTATGCTTTCCTACCTCGCACCACGATAGTGGTGGACTTCTTTGCCGGGTTTCCAACATTGTTACTGGCCACACAGCTGTAAACCCCAGCTTCATCTGAGGTGATGGCGGGCAGCGTGAGTGTGCCTCCTTTCACTACGCTCCTCTGAGGCAGGCTGTCATTACTGCTGACCCAGGTGAGGGTTGGAGGTGGCTCCCCTCCTGTGGTGATGCAGACCAGGGACACAGTCTGACCAGGATTAACCACAATTGGATCCTCCACCAGTAGTTTGATAGATGGAGATGCTGTGGAAACAGAATATCCTTGTGTCTAATTTATTGGTATTAACACATTTGTTTAAACATATTCTAGTAGTACATTTTATTAGTATAAAACAGATCTAATAAATCTTATTATGACAGGAAACATATAATGTTCGGTTTTAACCAGTAAGACATTTTCTGATCAGATGTAAGAAGCTTTTCTTTTAAAGATGTTAGTATGACATGCTGGGGATTTTCATTCAGACTGTAGAAGAGTAAAAAAAAAAAAAAAAAGAGCAAGACTTTTTCTACATAACAAAAAATATTTTACAGCAAAATTACTTAATTTGTTTGATCCTCTTAAATATTCAGCGTTTGTCATAAGATCTAGAAGCTCAGGGTTTTAAACTCTGGGAGATCAGATATAGCTCTACATTTTCTTAATACACACATCCAGACTGCTCCTTTGACAATGCTAACTGTGATATAAAATACTGAAATTAATTCAAATTGGAAAACAAACAAGTTCAGTGCATTACTACTGATTAATTGTTAATTTAATTTAATATTTTTATTCATTCCTGACATGTCAAATCCTTATATAAACCTGTAATATCAAAAAAGATGTAAATACATATTTATGCACATGCACACATATACCTACACAGAGATAACAATAAACATAATACACATAAGAAATGTGCCCTATTAACATATCTGAAAGAGGTTGGAAGAAGTAGATCATATTTTATCCTACCTCTACTCCAGAATTATGTTTTTACCAAAATCCAGATTTCAGAATATTATAAACTAATGTGAAGAAAAAAGTCTATGTTCATGAATAAATGTGACAAGTAAGAAATTAAACTATTATATTCCAAATAAAATCACATCCTAAAATACATCTACGCAAGTGCAGTTACCAAAAGTCATTCCTAAATACACAATAACCAATAGACTGAATTTACAGTCATACACACAATCTTTAGTGTTTTAGAGACACCCACCTGCTTACCCCAGGTCCCCATCTTGCAGTTATTATTAATTATCAGTCTTCATTTCTTGGCTAAGTTTGTTTTAAACCTTCCCCCCATTAATTGAAATGCACATTCTTTTCGAGGTTGTCCAAACACTCCTATTACTGAATTGAAAGTGTCTTCTTTATTCGCAGCTCCCTCGTCCATAAGTGAAGAATTTTTGGATGCTATCAGGTAGATCTTTGTTCCTGGCTGTGTACATTAACTTTGTGGTTTGAAATTCTACCAGATATGGCAGTTTTATAAGGCAGAATGTCAAAATAACTCACATTTGTGATCATGGAAAGTTGCCTTATGAATCAAACTTATGGCTATTTTCTTAATGTTGCACAAGGACTGGAGTGAAAATGTTTAGATGTTGCCCCAAGACTTTCACACAGTAATTCAAATAAGGCAGAATCAGTGAGCAGTATAGTATAATTAATGCTTTGATGGTTAAGATATATTTTGCTTAATTAAGGAATGCAATAATTCTACATAATTTAGTTTGGTCAAGTTGAATGTGCTGTTGAATGTGCCAGAAACTTAATTTCTTTAATTCTTTCCACATTTTCACCCATTATTGCAACTTTTAAATCAATATTCCCCTTTACATTCCTAAACATTTTAAAGTTGGCTTTGCCCCAGTTTAATGAGCCGTCATATCAAACAACCTCCTCAATTATTTCACAGTATGGTGATTCACATTTTGTTATTTTGTTGCTCATTCCTTAAACAACTTTTCATCCAATTTAAGAGTATTCTCTTATTCCCATATTGCTACAGCTTATTAAATAATATGTCATGATTTAGTGTGTCAAATACTTGTTTTAAGGTCAATTAAAACCCCAATTGCAAATGTCTTTTTGTCAGTGGTACTATTGATTTCTTCTATTAATCTAGGAAGTTCAGCTGTGTACGGGCGAAAGGCAGGGCACACCTTGGACAGGTCAGCAGTCCATCGCAGGGCAACACAGAGACAAACATGACAAACAACCATTCACGCACACACTCATACCTAAGGAGAATTTAGAGAAGCCTATTAACTTAACGGTCATGTTTTTGGAATGTGGGAGGAAGCCAGAGTACCCGGAACATGCAAACTCCATACAGAAAGACCGCAAGCCGGGAATCGAACCCGCTACCGTTTTGCTGCAAGGCAACAGTGCAACCCACTGCCCGACTATAGATTTAACATTTGTTAAATCTATAAGTAATTCCATTTCAACTTGCGCCTGTCCTCGCTTCTGTATAGTTGGATGATTTCAGTGGTTTTCATTTCTTTATGAAATTTGGAAAGACAGAAAACAAATGTATGTCATAGGTAGTCATCACAGTTGTCATCTAAATCTGTTGAAATCTTATTTCTACATTTACCATTCCTTTTTTGTTTTTTTCAATCTCTCCCACTGCTTTGAGGAACTTTGAGTTTGGATTTCTACTTATCAAGGCCTCGTTGCATTCCTCAGCTGTTTCAGGTCCCCTAATTCTTTCAGTAAATTTAGGTTCAATACTTACAAAATTGTTGAAGTTGTTAACTACATCATTCATATGTTTATTTTTCATCATTAAAAGGAAAGTACTGTGGATTATTTGATTGTGTGAAACTTTTACTAATGACCTTGTTAAATTTAATACAAAAACTTTTAATATTATTCTTATTCCTATCTAGTACGGATGTCTCCATACAGTTTGTTTCATTTCTGATATGATACAGATATTGCAGGTTTGAGAAATGCCCGATACTGATATTGATACAATATGAGCACAAATCATACACACTTTTATTATTTATTTTGTACTGTAGAATGTTAGAAAAGGCTTGATCAAGTGGTACTATCAAGACAGAGAAATATAGTCAATCAAAAAACAAACAACTGACCCATGTCATTTTAACCGATTATTTACAGAAACTTTAAACAGAAGCAGAGTGTTTCTCTCAGTATGAAAATACTGCAGATTTTATCTTCTGGCCAACACAATCGAATATAATTTTTTGATTAATATTAGACTGATATACGATATTAATATCCGATTGGGACATCCCTACTTTCTCGTTATTTGCTGTAGTGGAAATGTTTAGCTTGATTCATTTAACTTACACATATTAAACTATAAAACACACACAAAGAGTTGATGTGTAACAGAGATTAACACAGACTAAAACAGAATTGACCTAAAAAACACCAAATATAGAAATTTAACAACTTAACAAGCTAAAAAGTAATGAGAAGACAGAAAAATAAGAGTAAACTGAAAGTATAATTAATTTTATGCTGTACCTGTCTTATTGGTGAGTCCAAAGATAACGCTGCGGTCAGGAATCCCACACACATTTCTGACAGAGGCGATGCAGCTGTAGTTGGCATAATCTTGAGGACGCAGGTTCTTCAACTTCAGGATTTTTGTTTCCCCCTGCAGCTCAGACCAAACCAACACTGGTATGCAAATATGTGCAAAAGCATCATCCTAATTAAAAACAGGAATGCTACAAAAGTAGATCTCAGGAGTTATATAGAAAAGGCCTAGCAGCTCCAGAGAGAGGTCAAAGATATTAATATGTATACAGCCTTGACAAAGACTAAAGGGAAATGAGAAGAGAGCATAATTCAAACAAATTACTACTGCATTCAAATAAGAATGATACTGATTCTTTTTTACATGAAAAACATTTAAAAAATTGTCAGCATGCCTGCTACCAATAAGGGGATTACTCCACAGAAAAGACTCCAGCTGTATTTTCACAGCTGAGCTACAGAAATATGGATGGGCTCAGTAGGGGAGCGCTCCACAGAAATGGCTATCTCATTGAGAATATGTGTTTGATTCCAACTTGGCTTGTCAGCCACAAGCCTCGCCCAAAAGGTTATGATGAGGATGTAAACCTTTGATCTGACTGACTCCTTTGTGTGGATGTGGGGATGATGAGAGGAAAGGGAGGCAGATTAAAACATGAGTCAGACAGTTGCTGCAGCAGCCCAGAAAACATGGCAATCACTGATGCCTTTTAGACCTTTTCAGATCCAAAGCAGCCAAAGGATGACTTAATTGTATTACATTAGTCAAGGGCCTGATATTCTACACTCTTTCTCTTTCTGTCACAGCTTCTACTTTGAAGCAGATGACAGGGCATGAGGTTGATAGGAATGTAGAAACAGTTTAGGAGAAGATGGAAGGAAGAGAGAAGAAGTGGAAGGGAAACATATTTTCTTCAGAAACAAAATGAGAGCCAAAAAAAGGATAGGAAAAAAAAAACATAATTGTAATTGGGACTACCAAAATAATGGGAAGAATAAGCACTTGTAATGCCAAATGGCTTCAGCACCACAGATTACTTGCAGACAGTAAATTCTGAGAAAGTATGGGAGTAATTTAAAATTGAGTTCTGTGGACATCTGTATGGCCTGTTTTATTTGGTTGCTTTAGTTCAATATCCTAAAACAAATGTCACTGAAAGAAGAAACTATGTAATCAATAACATTATATTTTTTAGCTTAAAAATGATTTTTTTAAGCCATGAACAGACACGTAGAACTTGGTTTAGACTGAAAAAATCTATTTGTCTCATTTTAGAAAAGAAAACATGACCTTGGCCAAGAGGCTGAGTTGTGAATTCTTTTTTTTAAAAGAACTAGGAATAGTTGTCTCAACGTGGGTATTTTTATTTGTGTTAGGAAGCCACACATCCCCACACACTAGACTTTCT